CTTCATATTAATCAAATTGATACGCTTTCTCTAGATTCAAGCAAAAATCATTCTTTTCGTTCTTTGTTCATAATCCGTCGAACAATATGAAAAGGACATTAAAGCGTTGATTCGTGAAATTGGTGACATAGTTTCAAGTTCAATCCCTGGCCTGGGTCGTGTTTAATTGTACCCAGTGAAAACAGGACGAGCAAAAACTTAGTTCTAAATAAAATCTATATATGATCAGCGGCGTTTGAACAATCAATTCGCGTAGATTAAATAAAGGGTACTATTTGAAATTACCTGAACGTTACTCGGATCGACAAACACCTGATGAAGAACAGAGGGTACAACGGTCGAAACGTTTTGGCAATAACAATGAAGATAAGGAAAATAGTCTATATGAAAATAATGTAAGTAAATATTAAATGAATTCCAAGATGTAACTTTCGAGTAGGCATTGTTAATACTGAAGATATCTCTAAAAGTTAATAATCTAAAATGCAAAAGACCCGTAATTCATTTTAGATTCGTAAGTTAATTTATTAAAGTCCATGAATAATTCGGTAAAGACTTCATCTTGATAAAGTGGAATCGCCTTGCAAATTTCAAGTTTCATCTAAGTCTTTTGCGTTCGATTTGTACTAATAGACTTAGAAATAGCATGGATGGCACTCATCTTCTCTCAGTTATGTGTTAAATAACAATATAAACAGGAAGTTATAGTCTTGTGTGATTGACAATCGAGGAGAATTTAAAACGGAAAAGCAATCTAATATATTTCCCAATAAAGAAATTTAATCTAGAGCAAGGTTCCTCAACAGGAATCTACGGGGGCCCTAGTTGCCACATGTTTGAGATTTTCGATTTCAAGGTCCTTAATTTTGATAGTTTTTTGAAGATCTTCAAAGATACACTGCAGACTTCAGGGACTGCCATATGAATAAGGAGGCACTTTTTTGCAGTCTCTAATAACAATATCTGGGATTATTATTATTATTATTGTAGAATAATTAATTTGCATTAAATTAGTTTTCATTTAAAAGTAAAGCTTAATCATATAATATTTTTTTGATTATTACAACCTCAAAATTTTTATTCGTTAAAAACAGAATATTGCTTTCTTATGTCAAATAGCTATTAAGGGGTCCACCAAGGAAAAAAGAAGAGAAAACGTGTCAATGGGTAAAAAAGTTGAAGTGACATAGCCATTGCACTTTCCCTTTCCGAGGCCAATGTAGTGATGATCAGCGAGGGCACCCTGATGAATATAAGTATTCATATTTGGGATTAGAATTGTCTTTAACAATAATTGTCTTTCGCATGATTTTCAAGAAGTAAGATTCAATCTATTAAGTGAATTTCTCTTGAAAATATTTAAAATATTTTCTTATATTAATAAAACTTTTTTGACTATTTACTTTATAAAAATATTCTAGTCCTTGCCCTAAATTATTTGCAGCAAATGACGTTTGTAAGTATATATATATATATATATATATATATATATATATATATATATATATATATATATATATATATATATATATCACTAAATGCAATATATACCGTCTCGTGATTTCTAAACCAAGAATCTCAAATCCAACACAGACGATTTTAAATCATAAAACAATATTAAGCATTTTATTAAAAGCGCAAATAAATTATCTCCTGAGGTAACTGAAGGTTGTTCAAGGCTACTGATCAATGAAATTCCTGCTTGATGCTATTTCAAATGTTATATGTATATATGTTAAATAAAACAGAGCACGGTGAGAGATGAACTAAAAGACACCCCGATGGAAAAAAATATTGCAACAGTTGGTAAATGATTCTCTGAGCTGCTTCCACGCTGGTCGACACAATAAGATCAATGGATTGGCGAGAAACCTTTACGCATATGAGAACAGGACTATTTTTTCCGCAGACACATTGTATGATTTGCATCTTATGATACCTTGAATTCGTGCAGTGATTCAAGAAGAGCTACTTTTTCTCAGATATAAGTTGATTTACTTTAACTGCATAGAGAACTCTGAGGGAAAAGAGTAATAATGTCAGGAAAGATATTCGCTATTAGTTTTAATTCCTTATTTACTGAAAAGAAAATTTCTACATTATTGTATCAAGGACTATTTTACGTAATATACGTAGATTTTATGTAAAAATAATATCTTAATAAATGCTTCTTCTTTTATGTACTGTGTGCCTTCAGAACGTAGGCAATGGTGGATCAACACAATTTCTTCATTTTGTAGCTCTAAGTAAATAGTGTTTCTTTTTTGCTATCTCTTTTAAACCCTGCTCCGACAAAGATAGTGACCAATGTTGAGTCATAATAATGCATGGAATATGATTAATGGCCTGAAATATTGGCAGATTTGATAATTAAAGTAGTACAGATATTAGGGGAAAAATATGGGAGAGTGGTTATTCGAATTGGTGTCCGATGACAAAAAAAAAGGTTCCGTTAAAAAATATTAATTTAAAACCATGAAATACTTATCAGGAGGGCCTCGGAAGTGTTTGAACTCAGAATAAACTAATTAAAATATAAGACTCAGTATAAATGATGCATCCGGTCCAAATCCATACATAGCCTCTCTAGGATTGGCCTAGCATGACATGACTAATATGTGTAAACGGCCTGTACAGTGGCGCGAAAGAATCTCCATTTGATGCAATCGGATAGATCCGATTTCCAGGTTACATCCATTTTACTCAAGGCGGTCCAGGCTTTAGCTATGCGAAATTCCACACCCTTTTCAGTAGATTTTGCTTCCTAGGTATGCAAAAGTTTCGACAGATGTTATTGATTCTCCTGAGACATTTTGTATTGCGCCTTGCTGTCTGAAGCATATGAATTCTGTTTTCACTATGGTTTGTTTATTTACAGATCAGTTCGTCGTATTTGCTTTGATTTCTATGTAATTTTGGAAAATTCAGCAAAAATTCTTTAAGTGTGACTCATAGAGAATTGAAGAAAACAAGGCCTGCTTATTAGAAATCTGTCTATATCTCTGAGATGAATCATTGTAACTATTTCCATTATAAGGACTGTTGTACTCATATTTGTTGTCATATTAACGACGTTTCAGCCGTTTTACGCTTCAGCCTTCTTTAGGTGATATATTCTGGAATTTCGAACTGAAACCTATATCTAATACACGGGGCTAGATTGTTCTAATTCCACGCCACGTCTTTGGAAATCTCAGGTTTACTTAATTCTCCTTGATAACTCAATTCTCCAAGTTTTTATTGTCTTTGCTGTGGCCAGGGATTATACTCTACTGCATATATATATATATATATATATATATATATATATATATATATATATATATATAGAGACTTATGTTGCGAGTTTTATCCATGGACACAGCAAAAAATCAACAACTTGCAGAGTTATCATGGGAAATTAATTTAAACAAAGGCACGGCACGTGGAATTAGAGTAATCTACCTCGGTGGACTAAGGGGCTCGGTTGTAAATTTAAAAAAATATCATCTGAAGAAGGCCCGTTTTCCTAATCGTTATAGCCTTATTCACGACCTTTCGGTCGTTTTACGGGCCGGCTTTCTTCAGATGATTGGAATTTTGATCGTACCATTTATTTCGTCCACCCGGGTACCATGCCTCTTCCGTATATCTCAGTTTCAGTTATTTCCCTTTGTTCACCTCTGCTGTGACCAGGTATTATTAGACTCAGAATTCTTTGTCACTAGATTCCGCCAACTGATGCTTTTATGAACTGGGTCACGTGTCCTAGAGGACATCAGTGTATGAATTTTTGGAATTTATTAAACGAATGTCTCCGTGACCATTTTTTGCCAGCCCTCCCTATATATATATATATATATATATATATATATATATATATATATGTTTAAACTAGGATATAGAATCACGGCAGATTTTTTGAGAAATTTCACAAATGGAATCAGTTTTCATTGGAACTAGATTTGAAAATCCGTTTCGCCAATCTAGGCTTCATCAGATCCAAAAACGAAAGAAAGAAGATATGTGAACATGTATTTGTGTGTATACTTAAATAGTGAATATTTATTACTTTTTTCCACTAACCTGGCATTTCTCGTGATGAAAGAAAAGACTCTTCATTTTTCACACGTTAAGCCGCACATCTATATTTCATAAAATCTTTCTCGTTTTATTGAAATAAGTCTATATTAGATTTAAGAGAAATATAGTTTTTAACAATTCAGTATGTGTCCTTCTGAGACTATTTTATTAAATGAATATCAGTCATAATTTTATCCAATACTGAATCTGTATTTTGTTCTATATGTCTCACTTACCGCTGTATATTTCCGAAGTTTACCGAAGACGGATTCTGTTTTTTTTTTTTTGAGGAGATAAACGTAAAATATAGTTTACACATCTCAAATTGCATTCTCATTGCTTAAAGCTGAGAATATAAAAATTATTGCCTGATAAGCAATGTTTGCTTTACTCAGTGTCAATGTCATTCAGTTAAAAACTCTCAGTGAAAAAGTATTTAAAAAAAAAATTATATTTTCTTAAATATTTAACTCCAAGCAAGGCGATAAAGCAACTAAGACGCAAGAGGTTATCGAGGATGAAAGACAGTGTAAAGGAAACTGATAACAACTTTCTGAAGAGAAAGGACAATAAAAAAGAACAAGATCCATGGAGACATAAGATGACGATTGGTATTACATTAAACTTTCTGTAGGTTGTTGTTGATAGAAAAATAAGGTTGGTTTGGTTATTTTTAACGGAATATCAACATCTCTATATCTTAAAGACGAAATCTAAATATTTTGTATATCATTTTTATTTTTTATTTTTGAGATAATAATGCTTTGTGATTCAAGTCTTACTAATTAACCCATAGCTAGGGGGAGAATAAGCGGATTCATATCTTTTCCACATGTATTTGTGCGTAAGTGAATATAACGAACTGGATGGGTATTGAAACTAGGGTTTCCGATTAAACATTCCGAGCCATTATCCATAACACCACCCGCACATCCCGGCTTACTGCATCTGATATTCCCAAACGGTCACCTATCTAAGTACTGACCAGGCTCGAAATTGCTTAACTTCGATCATCGTACGGGAGCCGATGTTTCAATGTGGTTGTAAGTCAGAAAAAAGCAAGAATCTTGAAGAGAGTTGCATAGGCGAGGGATGAAACTATTAAAATAGACTTTACGGTTACAATTTCAGTAGTAAAAAGGATGAAACCTAACTGTCAACCTAGTACTATCCTTAAATTCATGTTGGAGTACCAGGATTTTTTATTTGTGTTCATAGTGTTAACATATGATATGCATATGACACGGTGTTCATGGCTGACGCAAACAACACGACACCCCAGAAAAGAAAAGATTTTCGTAAAGAAAATCGGGAAGAAACGACAAATCATAAATCCTAATGTCAGTGAAAAAAAAAAGTACCAGAGTTCGAGCCATGATTTAAAGATGCCAAAATCTAACAATTACGAATATTTAAATATCAGGGACGTATTTCAACTGATGACGGAAAATATGAGACCGAAATCTGAAGGACCATTGGAATAGAGAAAGGTGCCTTACAAAAGCTAAACAAAGTATTAAGAAACTGCAAATTTTCACTAGAAACAAAGAAAAGAGTTCTCGGTCATATTAGTCCTTCAACAAGAACTTGAATGCCGAGAAATTTTACGACAAATCAAGAAGAGACTTGAAACCAAAAATATGTTAAGAATGCCATGGAGAGAGTATGTGAGTAACTCGGCCGTTTTAAGAAAATGAAAACTGAAACGGGTGCTATTACATAGAACCAAAAAGAAACAGCTAAAAGTTTTAGGATATATAATGAGGAAAGACGACTTGGAGAATTTGACACTCGCAGGATATGTTGAAGTTAAAAGGGACAGAGGAAAGCAACAAGTAATATTCTTATTAGGTTGTGTAAATAGTTTGCAAAACAGGGAGTAGGAAGGATAGTATAAAGACATTGCTAAGATCTAAAAAGAATTGGAAATTGTGGAGGTACATGTTCAACATAACCTAACAATTTTGTGTAAATAGATAGCAAAACAGGAAGTAAGAAGGTTAGTAAAAAAAAATAAACATTGTTAAAAGACACAAAGGATAAGAAGTTGTGAAAAGCCATGATCGCTCACGCCTTGAAGATTCCCGTCGTATAGGTGAAGAAGGCTTTTCTTGTTAAGAAAACTCATCTTATAACTCAAGATAAAACCCATAATATCCGAATGACAAAATAACAATTTGAAACAACATTTTGCATAAAACATATTCGTGCAATGGAAAGTCAGAGACGACATTATCGTGGTTATATTTGGCAAGTCACTGTATATTTTTTCAATCCATCAGGAAGAATTGTCAGTTTCAGTGTCCTTGCTAAAATTGTGACGGATAAAAAATTTATAGACCCTAACATTAGCTCTTGTATGTTTTTAAACTCTCGGGAGAATTATATTAAACATGTTTGTGTTACTAACACAAGCGTGTTTCGTTAAACACAGATACCCAAGCACACGCACACATATGCTCTCACACAGATATATAAATCTCCCCTCAAAACAATCGATCTCTCTCTGTCTTGCACACACACACACACACACACACACACACACGTGTATGGAAATGTAAAAGTGATATTTAAAAAAAAGCCCACATGACACGGAATTTTTCTGGTTTATATCAGCACGATCGCATGAAACACTGTTATGTAGTTGCTGATTAGGTTTGTCATTGAAACTGACAAAGTTTTAGCGAAGGCGTATAGGCAAAAAACGTTGTGTGCAAATGAAAGATATCTATCGAAAACTTGAGAATGCCTATGTATCAATAAAGTGTACAATGGTAGATAAGCTAATTTTGGTCTTACGCTACCAAAGGGTGTCATTAAGATCACGAAAGGATTTGAAAATTCAACCATGACCCTGTCAATAATATCAGCTTCACACGTGTGCGATCATGGCTCACTACATCTTCTTGTCCTCTATAGCTCTATATAACATTTAACTCTGTTTACATTATTCGGACTATTGTCCTCATTTTTGTCACCATATTTATTACAACGTTTCGGCCATTGTACGTTCCGGCATTCTTCAGTTGGTTGGAATGTCGAACTGAACCCTTTATTTTGCTCGCTGGGGTAGACTGTTCTAGTTCCACGTGCAATGTCTAATCGATATCAGTTATCTCCTGTTAATTCCATTCTCCAAGTTCTCCACTGCCTTAACCAGGTATTGAACTCACAGTCTGGGTCCTGTCACTGTATCTAACTAACGCCTTTATTCACTGTGCCATGTGTCCTTGGCGACAAAGATGAGGACAACAGTCCGAATAATGTAAATAGTGTACATAATACCTCATCTCAGAAATATAGACAGATTACGTTTGACTCATTATCACCCACTTTAGTCCTTAGTTCAGCTATCAATTCACACAAAGTCGTTAGACCCGTTTTATCTCTCTCACTTTCCAACTTTCAGTATGTCTTGTCAGCTTAGGCATTCGAAACGGGTGATTGCATTCCCTTCGTAGGGTACACGGATTTGGGATTATGAAGGCAAAAGCTATATATTTTCGGATCAACTAAGAAATGTTTCCGTTCAAATTCCTTCTGTCTCTACGTTTAAAAACCGTTTCCTCTCTTCTAACTGTGAGTGTTATATTTTTCAGGCCCCCTTTCCTCATAAGATATCCCGATTATCGACAGTTGCAGATTCGTCATTTCACGGACAAATGAAAAAGTACCGCCCGATACTGCTTCTTTACCTTTCTTCTTGCAGGAATTGTGACTTGCCAACCGAAAATGTCAGTATTTAAGAAATACACTATATTTCCAACAAACTGTGTGGTTGTTTATTAGTTAAATCTTTTTTCTTCTTATTACTTAGCCTTAAATTATTCCCTTTTATTTTACGCGAATAATGTTATAGTTGATATCTCAAAAAAGTATAGTGTAAACTTGGTTTGAAAAGAATGACTAATTTATTAGAGAACTGAAAGAAAACAATTCATGAAACTGATAACTGTTGCGGCCAGAGATATACTTTCCTGGGGACAGCGCAGTGATATTGAGGAAACTTGCCTTCATCTTTTGATGGTGATTAAAAACTGATGTTTTTGATGCATCGAGCACAACGTAATAATAATTTGACCATATGGCGATTTTTCTTGAGGATTAAAACAAATCTATGCAATCTGAAGGGAATTAAATCGAGAACAATAGATGCAGAAAATATCTGGTGATATAGACTGTAAGAAATCTATTTCTGCTTCCATTGCAGTATAAGGACATTGCCATTCGAATTAAATTCACCATATCATGCATTGTGGAACTGCGACTATACGAGATAAGATCAAAAAGTATCAGGACTGTGGACATGTAACGGATTCGAACTCCGCACACTGACCTTGAACCCTGACCCGTATTCCCCTAAGTTAGAAGGGTCTCGCTTCAGTCCGTTGTTTATAGTAAGTAGAATGTAGTCGTCTCACTAGATCACAGTTTCTATCAGTGACCTTTGAATTTGGCAGCAGTTTTTGGTTAAGCACGACATTTTTTTAGGTCCATTAACATCCATATTCCCCAGATCTCGTTCCTTGCAATTTTTTTCCTCTTCAAAAATTAAATTGCTCTTAAAAGAAACAAGATTACAAGATGCCGAGAAAAATTAAATTAAAATTGGAAGTAGTAACCGCTCGTGATCCCCGAAAAGGAGTTCCAAGGATTCTTCCATCCATGGTTAAAAAAAAATCTCTTGATAAAGTGTGTGGTTTCAAAAGATGACTACTTCGAAGGAGATTAAATGTTAATTGTTATATGCTTTAGTTTTATTTCTATAGCACATGTCCCGATATTTTTTGAACATTCTGTTTGTTCGACTAAAACAATAAAATCCACATCAAGTAAGTAAAGTTTAAAATAAAGGAGCAGATTTTATTAATATATAAATACTGAACAGCTTACTCATACGCAAGTCTATATCTAAAAGTAGATCCAGTTATTTGTCTAGTGATTCATCTTTATACATAAATAAACAGATGGATGGTGTGACCATCAGTCGAATCAGCAGAGGCCTTTGAAAGTATGATGCATAATAAAAGCAAGTTTATTAACTAATGGATTTTATGATATTTATCCTTTTCTGTTTATATCTGTTCCATTATATTAATTTCCGTCTGTCTCATAGTATTACCTTCCTCGTATCTATCTATCTACCTATCTATCTATCTAGCTAGCTAGATAGATAGATAGCTACATAGATAGATAGGTAGCTAGATAAATAGATAGATAAATAAATGGAGAGATAAATGAATAATTAAACACTTACCGAGGCTTTTCTTTTTTCTAGCTTATGTATCTTGTCAGGTTTGGGTTTTTACGTTGACTAGAGGGATAGATCCCCCTGATATGGGTTAAATAGCCGAGTAGACTGGGTCCTATAGCTTAGTTAGCAACCAGTCTAGCGAAAAAAAGTAATGACAACATACTGCGGGAAATATTCTGCCAAGTCAGTTATGTAATGAGGAGAGACATGGTCGACCAAGCGTGACATCACACATCTCATGGTACGTAAATAAAGAAGTAAGATAGATAATCTGCTACTAAACTGTTTGTTTAAATCTTTCTCTCTCTCTCTCTCTCTCCTTCTCTCTCTCTCTCCTTCTCTCTCTCTCTCCTTCTCTCTCTCTCTCTCGTTGTCTAGAAAGCCGGAAATCAAAAATTGTTACAATTGATAGAAAAGAGGAAAAACGGAAAAGTTAAAAAAAAAACAAAAAGGAGTGAGCGAGTGTAAAATGAAATAAAAAAAATCACGAAAAGGACAAAAAAAACCCCAAAAAACACGACACGTACGCACATACGCGCAGATGGGCGTATGGCCGCAGCGGTGCGCGCGCACAAACACACACGCACACACACACACACATACACACACACAGAGCACACACATGCTCTGTGAAAAAATAACTTGTACCAATGAAAAGCACATGTAAAAGGAAAGAAAACGAGAAATATAAGCAGCCAATTTCTGATATCACTTGATTCTTGGACGGACTGATTCCTGGACCGTCCGTCTGCGAAACTCTGAAGTCGGGATTCTGAAGGTATCAT